AACGGTGTTGCAGCATATTATTCACGCGCGGTGCAAAATGATCCCCCGAAGAGTGGCCACCAGTTCTTTTTCTGGTGTCTTAAATTATCCATCTTTGTGTGTGACCTTTGCCACCTTCTCGAGATAGTCTTGGTCGTGGTATGACTCTTCCACAATAAAACAGTTCTTCGGATAGCCACTAATTTACTTCATGTATTTCCTTTTTTTCGTACAAGATAAAGACCCCCCCCCCCTCTCTTATTTATCCCTTCACGACAGAATGATGCGCGAATCAAGGCGAGATAAATTTCTCATCCCGCCTCTGCTGCCAAGCCTCTGAAACAAATATCGTAGCGTCGGGAGGATAAAATCCTTATTCCCGGATCGTTTTTACGACGCGGCGGCGGCGGCGGGTTTGGCGCTCGCCTTCTGGCCACAGCGTGATTTATTAAATTAATTTGTTGAAATTAGCTCCCGGGGCTGCTCGGCGCGCGAGGAAAGAATGGGCTGGGGCCTCCGGCGAGCCTCCGGCCTGCGAGGTGGAGGCAATCACATTGAGTGCTTTGTGATTCACTCCTCTGGCTGCGCCCGCCGCTCCTCTCCCTCCAGGAGCGGCCCCCGCAGCGCGTGGCTAGTGCTGCCGGCCGACGGTCCGACATCCTCCTCCTCCTCCTCCTGCTCCTGCAATCCCTGGACACGACGGCTCGACATGTCCAGGCGGAACACGGCAGGAGGAAATCTTGAAGCGTACACTGGCAACACAAAGGTGCACTGGGGACGAGAGTGTGTGTATGTCGTACACCTGTAGGTGTTTGTTGTTTACCTATTGCAGGTGTGCGAATGCCTATTCGTAGGGGAGTAAACTGTCTTTTCGTTTGAAAGTCACTCAACCATCCGTATGTATGCCCGCCACACACCTACCCTACACGTACGCAACATTCTTAGGTTTCAGATGTGTGACTTGAGACCTTTACCGGCGAGGTCACAAAAATATAAGCTGCCTCTTGCAAAGGCATTAAGAAGGCCCTTAACAACGGAAAATACATAAGGTGTAGGACTGTTGTTTTGCCCTCTTGGCAATGTTGGCATTTCTGCTGTGAGGCGGAATAAGTGGCTAAGTCAACTTGTCTCCATGACCTTCAATCATTTGATCTGTAACGGACGTCTGGTACGTACAACGAAAGTTCCCAAAATGACGTTGGGACATAATAGAGTGACTTAGGAGCTTCCTAGGCAACAATAAATTACGGCAGTGCGACAGATGATTAAAAGGTCATGGAGGTAAGTGACTCATCCCCTTCCTGCGCTTGCTTCACGGCAGATTTGAACCTTTTGACAACCTTTAAGAGGTGTTGAGCGCCACACTGACGGCGGCTCATCAGCGCTGGAGCCACTTAGCCCGGCGGCCGGACTTCCCCTGCTGCCACTCCGCGCCCGCTAATCTCTCACGCTCAGTATGATTTAGTGGGACGCGCGGTGTACACAACCACTTTAATAAGCCGATAAATCTCGCAGAGTAAGTCTTCGCTTTTGCTGCACCCGAATTAATTACGCGAGAGGGAAGTAGTGAGCGTGCGCGCCGCGGCGCGCGTCGTGCAGATGTTGGGATATTTCCGTTATTCGGAAAAGGGCATTTTGCCGCGCGGTCTTATTATTTGCCGTGGCGTCGGATTGTTTCGTCGACTTTTGTAAATGCAAACGTTTTATGTTTCTCTTGCGGAAGGGAGATGAGGGATGACTGATGGCTCATTAAGTGTACGTAGTATACTCCTGTCGCAAACTGTGTTCAGCCACAGCTCTCCATCTATTCAACCCTGTGTTTACACTCTTGCAGTTTCAATATTTTGTTATACATCTTGAAATATTAGTGGTGATAGGATGCTGTAATACTTTGTTGTACTTTCTCGCCAACCAATTTGTGATCGTTTGTGATGCTCACGTTGACCGTACTGTTTTTTAAAACGCCTCTAGTACTCTGGTGGAAAATTTGACCTTTTCAACCTATATTACGTGTCGTGTGCTGAATCTTATTTTGTTACCTTAATTTCTGTAACATAGATTGACGACGCTTTTTCGTGAGTTTTACGCGCACATAGTCCTATGAATGCACTTCACAGTGGTTCCAGAGTGTATATTGCAGTTTCTAGTTGAAAATGGCCGGCTCCCTCTCCCGTCGCCCCTTTTCTGCTGCCTCTCGCGAAGTTTCCACCAGAGCCCTGCTTGCAATGGGACGGACGTGTGGACACTCTCGCCCCGCCCCAGCCCGCCTCACCCCGCCCCATGCCACATACCCCGCCCTCGGACCCCTGGCCCTGACCCCCGTCGCGCCAACGCCTCCATTCCGGCACTCTTACGCGGGTAAACGATTTTCCATGTTTTCCGTATGTGTGCGGCGGGGCGGGGCGGGGTGGGGTGGGGCGTGCGCGGAGCTCCGAGAGAGGCGCTCCGGCCAAGTGCACCGCCGCCGCCCCTATACGTGCGGTCATCACCAAAGTGTTCTTGTTTATTTCGGAGCCTCGCGGCGACTAAGGCCGTCCCGGGCTCGGCGCGGGAGTGCGGGCGGCGGGTCTGCGCGGGGGCGTCCGAACTCACTGAAGTTGTGCGGTGCGGGCGCGGGTCCTCCTGGTCAGACGCCGCCCGTGCGGCTCTTTACATCATCCGCGTATTTTGAACAGAAAAAAAAATGACGCGCGAACTCTTTCTGTTTTCGAATCGCCTGGTACTACATTACAAATGCGCGCGTTGTCCCCCTATATTGTGCCGACGACGAGATGGATGAGCTGGATAGAGACGGCATGGCGGGGCGGGGGGATGCGGGCGTGTGGGGTTCA